TAATGGGAACAAAAACTGGAGGAGAATCTTTCAACAGTTTGCTCTTTCAAAAAAGTCAACTTTGCTTACTAAACACTAAACTCAAAATCAGATTTGGACAGTGCATTTAATCCATGCCAGGAATCTATTATACAACTTACAGCTACCATTGATTTGAAAATGAACATGTGGCCTCAATGAGCCACGGAATCTGTCATACTACATTCCCTTTTCTCATAAGCACATCATGCAAAGTTCAACAGTACTCCTTATGGCTGAGGAGTAGAAGAATATTTCAAGGAGTTTTTTTTCTCCCAACAACTTGTATTTAAAATACAAGGATCTTGGAGCTTGTTTAGGCCTAAATAATCAACAATACAGACATCTCAAAATCAGACCAGATTTCTCTTTATTTTCTGTCCAAGAGGGAAAATAAAATTTTAGCAATCCAGATTAAAATGCAGTTAAACTAGTAAATAAAATAGAACTTATGATGGCATTGTGTTCATAGTACAGTTTCCTGTATGCTCATGACATCTTATTAGTTAAGTATATTTCTGACTTAAGACTTCCAGGTACAATTACTGGTTAAGCTCTGTAATGGTAGAAAAGCTGGCTGCTTAAGAGAGCTGCTGCTGTTATCATGTTATCTATCATTAGCTGGAAAACACACATTTGTTTCCAAAATTCCACTTGTGGCAGATGTTAGGAGAGAGAAACTTGGTGAATCTAATTTCTCTAAAGATCTTAAAGAACAGTGTAAGTTCTATCTGCTTGTCTAGGTTATACCTGAAGAGGTAAACAAGTATTAATACTGCATTATTTGGGAAAAATAATTCATTTACTTGCAAAACCACTGTGCTGCAGGTGAACCAGATAAACAGTTCATTCAGCTTGAGAAGGCTCAGATTAGGAGAAGAACTAGAAGTAGTGGATCTTTTTCTGTAAATGACTCTTGAGGAACCAACAATATAAAAATATGGATTTAATCACATAAATTCATTGAGGTTTTGGCTGACCATTTTATATAAGATAATCTTATTTTTAGTATGTCTTTAGAGAGTTTGGTCATCATTCCTATAAATAATTATTAAATCAAAAATTCAATGAGAGGTTTTTATGGGTTTGCAACTGACTCATAAATGAATCATCCAGCTTCAGTGCCATTGATTTTTTAAATTACTTACAAAACAGAATTCTAATTTCACTTACAATATTTCAAATAATTTACATAAATAATAGCATGTGAAACTCTAACTCTCCATTTCTTCAGATCTCTCCTCAAAACTTACCTCTGCTAATGTGCCAAAAATAATAGATTATAAATAAAGATTGACAGTTGTTTAAGTCAATGTTTTTCTCTTCACAGTATAATTTGGTTTTCATGTGTCTTTTTGTTACCACACCTGCAATTTTATTAATTATTATGTACAAGGAAAACTCATCTGGAAAACACATGGGAAGCCTTGAAGAACACAAAACACTATCAAAGTCAAAAAAGCCAAGCTCTGCACAGGACAGATTCTTAGCCGACTATGCTTTAAAACAGGATAAAGCTTTGGATGCTCAAAGGATAAACAAGAAAGGCCAGAGACATTTTCTCAGTGTTTCTGTGAAGCTGCCTTACATTGATTTCACAGTCACATGGAATAATACTGAAGACTGCCCACAGCTTAGTTCTTTGCACATTTCCATCAGTGACTTGAAGGGAAAAAAAAAAAAAAAAAAGTTTGTTTCCTCAACTACACCTAAAAAGCTGTATTGTAACCATCTTAGTAATAATTGTTGAAATTCTAAGCAAATGAAGCATTTCATTCCAATAAAAGTAATAGAAGCCAGGCCAAGTAACTCAGTCTGTTTAAAACAAGGCACTTCCTGTAGAATATTTTCTTGATATCTAGTCCTGTTTATTATTCTATACAATACTCTATCTGAAAGAGGAGCTGTTTCTCAGGAGAACTTCGTCTAATAAAAGGAAAATATTGCAGTTCAACATTGATAGTATAATTTGGAAAATTGAACATAAAATCAGCAGAGAGTAAGCTAAGCAATTAACATAGTGGGGGCAAAGTATGTGTTTCTGAAGAAAAACAGAAATCTGATTTTAGCAAAGTTGCTGAGAAACACAAAACTTACACACAGGTGAGAGGTTTTCAGTCCATACATCTTAACATAATGAAGATATTTTATTTCATTACATAATTTAAATTACACCACTATTTTCAAACTTGTGGTCAAATGGACTCTTGCATAACTAAGTTAGCCCAGTTTACTAAACGTATGATTTCTGAAATTCTACTTAAACCACACTTTGAAGTGAATTAAGCCAAATCAAATCAAGATCACATTAAAAGAGGGTTTGCACAGAATGTACCAATGTAATCCAATTGATCCTCCTTGAAAGACTGATTTGGATACCCAAATGTCCCTGGTAAACAGAATGCAGCAATTTTAATTAAGAGATGTAAGCATCACCATGATTCCCAGGGTAGATGGTAAAAGTGTACTCCATAGGGTTTCCCTGAAGTGAGATCTGTACCTCTGATAATCTGTCAGGGGGCTGTGACAGGGAAAAAGAATTGTTTTCAGCATCATTCTTCCAGCTGGGTCCAAAAGAACATTAAGCCCTTGTTAGATGTGCCCCTCTGGGGGCAGCTATTAAACCTCCAGATGGTTTCCAGTGGCCCAGAAAAGCCTTCTCAATTTATTAAAATGCACTAGTCTAGGGTTCTAAACTCAAGCTGGTAAAACAGACTTAACACCTATGGCCAAGGCTGGCAGCATTTCTCTCTCTTGAGGTCATGAGAGTTAGGGAACAGATGAGTGCTGCTGATCTGTTATATCACCTAATCCGGGCCCTGGCAAGCCAAGGGAGAAATAATAGTAAACAGCGAAGTCTATAAATGGCTCCAGAAATGACATCTTATTTTTGTATAATTTTCCTTAGGTTCTTAACAGTCAGGCACCATTACTACTGAAACGAAGTTATTAAAACCGCCAATGGGACCAGTGTTCACAAGGTTTCCCTTAGATGGTCTGAAGGAAATAACAAAGTCTAACCTATAGAAACCAAAGAGTAACAAGTGAAAAAAGAAAAAAAAAAACCACAACAGAAAAAGAACCAACAACCCCAAAGGAAAAAACAGAGATATGTCAGAGTATGTAGTATTCAAAACTGGACTTCAAAGGCCTCAGTGCACCAGATACTGATCAAGGCTAAATCCTTGTTTACAGAAATGCTTTAAAAACTCAAAAGGAAACAGTGCACAACCTGTGGAAGGCTCCTACCAGCTCAGTTGACCAGCACTACAGAAGAGGTTTTTAAACACCAATGATATTGCTTATGTGTGTAAAAATATAATCCTGTGTTTTCTCATTCTGCTTGAATCCACTTCCTTTCTAAATTCTGCTGAATTTCTGGGCTCAAAAGTATCTTGTATCAATGTATTCTGTGATCTAATTGTATCTATTACTAAAAAATATTCCATATTTAAATTTATAGCCTATAATAAAATGCACAAAGTGCAGAACTGAACAAACTGGAATTTTGAATGAGTTTAATTGTAGCACAAATATTTTTAGATAACATAATTTAATATGTTATGCTCATCCTCTTTAAGGCAATCTTACATTTTTTCAATCATTCTTCACGCTAGAGTATCTCATTGTCTACTCCCTGAACTATTCTCTCTGCTCATCTTTGAAATACTTACATCTAAGCTATATGCTTTTTAAGACAGAACAAAAGACAGAGGAGTGGTCCAGGCAATCTTGTGTGGGATAATAACAGTTAAGTTATAGAATCTTGTTTGCCCTTTTTAAATATGGCTGTCCTTTAAATCCAGATTAAATGCCAATGCCTCAGCATTTTCCTCTAGTGGAATAAAGGCAGATCATATGCATATACAAATTATTAATTTAATTTCTATTCTTTTGCATTTGTCATTAAAAACATAGACAACACCTGCAGTCCCCTTTTTTCTTTTTTTTTTTCCTTACTCCCAGAATTACATCCTGGACTGGTATTTTTTCCTAATGGTGATGAAAGAAACTGCAAAGTAACTTGGGAATTTTAGCCACATCAGCTTCTGGGAAAGAGGAGCCCAGCAGGCTTGCTTCCAGCCACATGAAGAGCTCTGCCTCTCCTACATCCCTGGTACACTGGCCATTCCCAGACAAATTCCCAGACAAGAACAGAAAGAGCCCTGTGACTCTGGAGTTTTCTGCTCATTTCTATTTGAGACTATAGAAGGGACAATTCCTGAGGCTCTCCATACCTACCTGTCCTGAGCACAAGGGATGCAAAAATTCCAGCTCTGGGATAGTATGGACAGAAGGACACAACTTGAAAGGATTCCGTGGTCACACTTTCAATCCTTGCTCTCTGGGACAAAGCTGCTACACATTAACTTCATTAACCCAGAGAAGTGGTCAGAGCACCAAGCCTGGCGGAGTTCAAGAAGCATCTGAACAATGCCCTCACGCTCATGGTGCGATTTTTGGGGTGTCGTGCTCAGGGCCAGGAGCTGGACGCAACGATTCTGACGGGTCCCTTCCAACTCAGGATATTCTATGATTTTAACTTATTACAATTCACCTTCAAATCAAGGTCTTTCCCCGACAGGTGTAGTCCTAGACAACCCCTAGCAGTAGACACCTTAAATTAGACAACTTGAATCCAATCAGAATAACCTTACACACGGCTCTCCGGGAGAGCCTGCTGGCTCGCTCTCCTCTCTCAGGTCCCTCAGCTCTGGAGCAGCTGCCCAGGGCACGGCCCACCGCAGCCTCCACGCAGGCCCCTCCTCATGGCGCTGTCCGCAGGCTCCGGGCTCAGGCCCTTCCCCCGGGCTCTCTCCCGGCCTTGCCCCAGCTCCTGAAGGCACGGGCGGCGGGGCTGCCGGGCGGCGGGGCCGGCTGTGGGCGCGGAACTGTGGCGGTGAGGGGCGTGTTCCCAGCCGGGGCGAGCGGCCGAGTAGCGCCGGGAGCGTCGGGCGCCTTGGAAACGGGCGGAAGCCGGGAAGGAGCGGCAGGAGGAGGATGCTGAGCCCCGAGCGGCTCTCGCTGCCCGGGCCCGAGTACCTGGGTGAGGAGCGGGGCGGGGAGGCTTCCTGAGGATTCTCTGTCCCTGGTGTGCTGCGGCACGGCACGGGGAAGGTTCGGCGGGGCTGGGGCGGCTGCGGCCCGGCCCGTCCTTCCCGGGGTCTGCGGCGAGCGGCCCCAGGCTGGGCCGGGCTGAGGGGGCTCGCAGTGGCTCCGTGTCTGCCTAGGCTGGGGAGCGGGCAGCAGCGGCCCGTAACAGACCGGGCTTGTCGGACGCTGAGGTGGGAGTGCTGCAGAGCCCTCTCGGGCACAGGGAGCATCGCCCCGGTGCCCAGAGGTGTGGTCTCCGCCAGCAGCCGGCGGGAGCTGAGCTGCCGTCTCCTCCACTGCCCGCTTTGATGATGTGAGTAGTAACAAGCGGAGTCCGGCCTTTCTGTGATAGACTTCACCCGTTACCCACTTGTTTTGCTCGCAGATCTGTGTGAGCATCCCTATTTCATGCTCGTTTCCCAGCAATGGGAAGGAGCGCTGCTTTTATGTTGCAAGATGGTTCGAATGCTAGCTTTTGTTCTGAAATTAGGTAACATTGGAAATGTTTCCTACATAAAATGAAAATCTTTCAACCCGTGAAGCAGCTACCTTTGAAGACTACATCCTTTTTAAGCTGTCTCTAATGGCTTGATGTTCCAGGAAAGTAAGGAGCAAAGCGATTTGATATTAATGTGTCAAATAAAAATAATTAGGATGGAATAAAGTCAATATGACTTCATTTAATTGCTGAAGAGGAGATGAATTACAAGTAGTAAGCATTTGGATTGTGTTCAAGAGAGTGTGAAGTGAAACTCTTCAGCCATTACTTCCTAAGCGCAAGAGACTGTTCGGTAGTAACCCTTATAAAGGTATACATGATTTTCTATTATTTTCTTGTACAAGGGATGGTCAGAAATGATTGTTTTGTGGTACTTGTTCCATCATGGTTTTGCCATTTCTGTAAGTCAAAATGGAACAAGAGTATAGAAACACTGCTGTAAATGGAAAAGCTGTATTGCAGGGGGCACTAGACTAAAAAAGTTTTGTTTAACCATTTAAGCAAAGGAGTGATCTAAGTTGTCTTAGAATAGAATTGTGCTGTTGCTGCTGTGCTGCTGTTATGGTGCTTTGTGCATACCTGCATAACTGTGATGCTGTTCTGTGTCAAGGAAACTCAAGGCAGAAGTAGGTTTGTTTACTGCTCTATTCAGGGTGACTCTCATGGGACTCGCCTCACTGAAGTTCTTATTGCTGATTTCAGTTGTGGAGCTTTGGGTGTTTGAGAATAGCATCGCAGTGCCATATAGACACACTAGACACACCCTTTGGGTTTGTGCTAGTCTGTCACATTACCTCAGCATTTTCAACCTACATGCTAATAGAGAAGTTCATAACTTTTCCAGAGTGGCTCTAGGTTGAAACCTGCAAAATTTCTTTTTCTTAATGAGCCAACTTGGTTTTAGGTTCTTGTAATTGTTTTTAATGAAATAGGCACTTTTAATTGGGTGAAACTTGTCAGTTAGGGTTGAATCCCTCAAAACAATGTAGGAAGGAGAATAAAAATACTTAAAGTGTGAAAATAAACCAGTTTTCTGTTGCACATCTGAAGCTAAGACATGAGATTTCTTAGATGTACAGGATTGTTAGGTACAAGCAGCTTTACTAGCCACTTAAGTGAGCCTCCTTTTATCTCTGTTCCACATGCTGATTTGGAATTCTCTTTTCATTTTGTACAAGTTTCTAAATTGTTCTGACATTGGGGTCAGAAGAAAGACAAGTACGACCATATTAGGTTGAGGAATAACATGTATAATAGTCCGTTCCATGCATTATTTAGTATAGCTTGGGTTTAGATTGCAGTTTCTGCTTTGGTGGGGGGAAGCATATTCTTATTAGATATAAATGTTACCAAAACCAGTGTTTCTGCCTTCATGAGACTTTGTAACTTGTCAAACTGCTCACAGATCCTAAGGAATTTAGTGTGTATTAGCAGTAGGAAGATGGTTAAAAACCAAAACAAAACAACCTCTAACTCCCCATCCTCCCACCCCAAATAAACACACCTCCCCACATGTTTTTCTAAGTTGCTTTTCTGTTTTCTATACTGGCATTCTGAAATCACCATTAATCACATTAGGTGTACTATTGTGCACTTTAAAGTTTTGTTAATACAGTTTTCTGAAGTGGGGGTTGTAAGGAACTGTGATAAATTTCACTTTCTGTAATTTCATTCTGAAGTTGTGTTGCCCTAGCTTAAGGTATTCTCTGACTCTCACAGACCAGATGACCCTGCCATTTCTGAGCTGGAATGGGTAACTCACCCAAACCCTTCTTCCCCTCTTCCCTTTCTCAGAAACCAAAACCAAAGCCAACGTATAAATTGAGCAGCCAGAATAACATAATGTGCTACTTGCTGTGTTACTCCACACCCCCTTCCCCCCCACCATTTGAGATAATTCTTCTACGACCAGTTAGAATGCTAAAAGGGAAATAAAAGCAGTTGTGAGTTAAAATAGAAATGAACAGGGAATTACATATTCACTTAAGATGAAAAATAGTTGCAAAGCTTTGTTATGCCAAAGTTCCTGGAATATAAAAATCAGGGCAACATGTCTTGTGCTGCAATGAGACAGTAAGTAAAAGAAAAGAGATGACCATTACTTAGTGAATAGGAATGGAGATGAGGTCTGCAGAATTGGCAGAAAGACTACAACGAAGATGATGTCATTACAAGCAGGACATTATAAACAGTATTTTCACTGAATAAACAGCATTTATTGTTTGGGTATAGTGATGATAATGTGTCCCTCATTTGATGGATGAGACTGGAACTACAGTAGGCAGGATGAGGCACATTTGAGACACTTTTTCATGCCTTCCTCATCATGGTTTAATAACTGGTGATTGCTCAGTTATTTATAGCAGGCAGTGGAGCACTTAGTGTATTGTTCTGCTCATGCAGCTGTCTCTGAAGCTTCATGTTGTATTACTTCCCTGCTCTCCTTTCCTGTTATGGAGAAAAAACAGTAGAGTACTGCAAATTTCCAAACTCCTATTTTCTGTGTATTCTCCTGCTTCTACTATCCAGCTCCAGGATGTTGTTTCTTGTCCTTCTTTGCCAATATAAGGCATATATGAACGCAAATACTCTGCTAGGAAAGTGCCTTATCAGTAAAGCATGGGCCTATCAAGTGCCAGAAACACGGTTGTGTTTCCTCATCTCTCTCGTAAAAGGTCTCAGGTTCAATGCTTAGAAAGAGGATACGTTCCTTTACAAAACTGAGCTCCCAACAGAGAATTTCAGTTGTGTAGAGACTATGCTGAAGCCTAAGGCTTACTCGTCTTCTGAACACTCTTAAGAAATACTGATCTGGAAAGTGCAAATAAAATAATTTCCTTTAACAGCATAATAAGCACATTGTTATCCAGACATTTCAGCTGACACTGATTCTCCTCTTAGTATATATTTGGTGAACTTCTGTGAAGCACTGTGGCTGAAAGATCTCATGGTCCAGAAAAAGAGAAGAAAATGCCTTTTTAAAATTTTTGTTTCTTGCTCTGTTGTACAAATAGAAGTGCTACAATGTAGAAGTTGAATATAATGTGTAAGAGTTTGCTTATAGAAATGCTAATTAAATTTGAATCTTCTTAGACTCAGTCTAGTACTTTGTCCAAAAGATGGGGGTTTCACCACTATACTGCTTGCACCACAGGATTTCCACCTTACCTTGAAACGTACAGGTAGAATCTGATCCTGAATTAGGTAGACTTCCAGAACTGGAGAGTGCAGTCCTTTGCTTATGTCCCTCTGAGCATGAATAGATAGGGAACCATTAGGCTACTTAATACCTTATAACAAACTGGAATGACAATTTCTTCCACGACTAATAATTTTAGATTTAAACAAAAACCTCCAAAAACCCCAACCAAACAAAAAAAGAAAAGATAGCTCAAAGATTTGCTTTGGTGAGGGGGTGGTTTCTAGCAGCTGTGTGACACCTTGCAGGAAGCAGACTGCTGGAAGGAGTTGCACAATTAAGTCAGTCTGTGTGCATTATTTTGCTCATTGTTTGAAACAAATTCTCAGCTATGGTCAAGATTAAATAATAAATGGAAATGTTTCTTAAATTTTTTGCTGAAAGTGATTTTGAAACTTCGAACATATGAAATATGCCGAAGTTACATTGTTTGACCCCTTGGCATGTGCTCCTTAGTAACAGCACGTCTCATGTTGTGTAATACCTGTAGTATGACAAGATCTACTTGTACTTATATATTCTGTCCTTCAAAAAACATTTTCCTTTTGAGGGTTAATAGGAAATTACACTGTGAAGCTATGTAAGGCTGGAAGGAACTATGACAGTACAGAGATGTGACATTTAGGTTAATTGTTTTGTTCACTTCTCTTTCCCTGGCCATTACTTAGCAACATCTAAAGAGATTAAGTCCTTAATGATATCTGAAAAGATTATGAAGAACATCCTGAAAAACCAATAATGCTGGAAAAATTTCCAGAGTTGATGTGATTTTGTTGTTGCAGTTTTTATCCTCACTATTTCTCTCTTGCATCATTATTGTTTTGATAATATTTGCATGAAATTGATTTTATGTTACTACAGATGTATCTTTCTAATGTGTGTGATAAGGTGGTGTCCTTAGTTAAGCTCCAGTTTAGAACAAATAATGAAAGGGTGTTTAACTATTACCTTATGCTCTCAGAGGATATGTTCTCAGCGATTAAGAAATGCCAGAAATACTCCAGATACATTAAAGCTTGTTATGCTCTTGAGCTTCTGATAACTGAAATGAATCATAATGTTAATTGCATCAATAGTGTGTATTTTCAGCACTTCAGCTGAGAAGGAGGCAAATAAGTAAGAAAAGCTGGTCTCATTTTCCAGGAATTCCCACTCCTGATTTTTCAGCATATTCAGTTATGCCAAAAATGATCCCAACTTAACAAAACCAAAAACCAAACCAAACCAAAAAAAGCCCTCTTGTGTGCTTACAAATTGCTTTGATAGACAGCTTTTGTTTCAGAAGAAGTCATAAGAAGTCATGTCTTGGATAATAAAACCATTATATATACACAGTATCATGACTTAAAGGTGACATCTATTTCCTTCCTTCCTTCTGAATTTCTGTCTCTGAGAATTTCAGTGCATATATTCAATTTTGTGCAGTGATATTATTTGCATTAAATTTTCCTTCAAGACTTTTCAAGTATCAGGGCTTGTTCTTACATTTGTAATCAAACCTACGAAGTGGTGGATTGTTTGTTCTCATCAAAAGATTGAAACAAGTAACTTGGTGGTATAAACCCATATTGTGATATTTGCTTTCGCAAGTATTAAGATGAATGTTATATGTTATATGCTTTTGCTATGTCTTTTTTTCCTGCTAGTAAGTCTTAGGCATGGGTCAAGAAGAATTTTGGACGTTAGGGCTAGGTCCTGTCTGTATAAAGCAAGATAACCTCCAGGAAACAGATGATGAGGCCCAGGCTGCTATCAACACTAACTGCCTGCAGAAGAAGGAACCCCAGCCCAAATAAATATGTGATAAAGGGAAATAAAATCTTTAAGATGCTTGCTCTAAAAAGGCGGATTCAGGGCATAGCCATGCAAAATACTTATTGGAAAAGTATGAATATGCATTAAAACCCCACAGCAGGATGGGATAAAAAGAGTGTTCCAAAGATATCAGGTGTACTCCTGGCAGTGTGCCAGGGCACCCAGCCGTTTTAACCCTTTGCTTTATTATCTTTGTCTCCTAATTGTCTTTTTGTTCATATTAAACCTTTTATAATTTATTAAGTAAGTGAACCTCGTTTTTCACATTGGTAACTTATAAAAAGACTATTTTTACTATGTTAAATACATATGCAAAATAATTTGGTGTGGTTATGGCTAAATGGAATTAGTTGTGATCTGTTGTAGAGAAATCCATAGAGATTGTGGATTGACTGTGGGTGGAATCCTCATTATGCCTTGTACTTGTAAGCTGAAGTCTGGCCATGCTTGCATTGAACAGCCGCTGCTCAGCCTTGAATTTGGTTCTGAGCCAAAAGTGCATTCATTCCAAATTTCATTTTAAACATTGGGCATGTGAGTGATGGTGGGATGTGAGCACATGAGTATCAGAGGCTGTACTCTTAAGTGCAGCAGGAGGCAGCTTTGGAGGAGCTGTACATGCTGCTACTGATTGGACTGAGGCTCCAAGTATAACATCACTGTTGGTGGTTTAGTGATAAGAATTAAGATATTCTGTGCAAAGGTATTTACTTAGCATCAGGTTATGGGCTGCCTGAAAAATCCTCTGTGAACTTACTCTGTCAGATTCTTTTGTGAAAGCTGACTGTTAGTTTTTAAATCTGACAGCAAAGAGTGTGGCACCTACCAAATGAGTGTGGCAGGCACACTGGCTTCCTGTTTGGGGTAGTTGCCTGGGATTTCAGAGTCGAAAATTTTTGTTATAGTTTAAAGAATATGGGTTGCATCAGAAAGTTCTGTATGAGTAGGGAACTTCTGTTGCAATAAACCTGAAACAAACAAATACTGAGGATGATGTCCTAATGTAACACCTCCTGTATGGAAACTTCAGCATACTGGAGTTCTGTCAGGAAGAAAATTAGTAGAGACAGAAAGTTATTATAGCACAGGGCATGAGTATTTGGGCTTTACATTCTGATTTGGACTTGCTGCCTTATTATTCCAAAGTGGGCCTCAAAAATATGAGCAACCTTCATTATCCCTGAATTTAAAAAAAACTATTAAAATGTATGAATCATCTCATTTATTTTGCCTAGAACTCTACAGATTTTTGACTATGCTTGCATAAACAGTTAATGTTCCGGTATGGTTCCAGTGTTTGTTATGGAAAGTAACATTTGTGTTAATTAAGGAACTACTCTTTTGCTAAAACCAGACTCCTGGCACTTTATTTTGCCTCTCTGGCCTGCTAAAACCTGTCTGCAAATTACATTTTGTTCTATGACTTTCCTGTATAGTGTAGCATTAGTTGGATTATAAAACATATTACTTGCATCATTCCATGGAACTGGGCAGTCGGTGAACAGGAAGCCAGAGCTGGAATTTAGTTTGGCAGTGTGAACTGTGCTACCTGGAAAAGAGCACAGCAGCCAAAGGTACAAAGAGGGAGACTTCTCAAGGAGATTTCAAGTGCTATTTTCTTGTAACTTCTCTGCTCACAGTTTTCTTCCCTTCCCCACACCTCTACACTCTCTTCTGGGAAATAGGGAAAGAGGTTCTTTGCCGAGACCCTTAGGCTATGTAACAAAAAGCTTAAGAGAAGTACCCTTTTACAAGTAATTGTATTCAGTTGTGACCTATGTATTTTTGTGTACATTTTGAAATGTCTAAAATTCTATGTTGAAAGTTAATTTATTCTCCAGGAGCAGATTCAAAGGTTTTTACTATAGAGGTCAGCCACATTGTGCTGTGTAGCACTGTGGGACCATGCCTGTCTATTCCCAAACACTTTTAAGGGAGGTTTATTACTCTAAAAAAGCAAAATAACAGAAATACAGTTCATTGATAGGGACTGTTCTATGAAAGGAGTGCATACTTCCCCACAAGCTGTTAAGAATGGTTTTGCAGTTGAGCAGAAGTTCATTCCAGGCTGAGATGAGTGGAAGTCTGTCTGCTAGTATCATTTCCTGGCATATTCTGGTACTGCTGACATCTCAAGAAGGGCCTGAGGAGACTATTGCTGAGTGTGAGATGGACTGCATCAGGAGGAGGGAGGAAGGACGGGCTGAAGTAAAGTTACCCAGTTGTTGCTATCTTGAGCCTATGACTGAGCTGCACGGACTCGTTCTTCCCTCAGGGGACACAGGTGCGCAGAGCTATTTTTCTTTAATCACTCACATAAATTAAATTTATTCCTTTGCATTAAAATAATTAAATAAAGCTACGCCCTATATCTTTTAGTGCCAGATAATATCTTTAAACCCTTGGCTCACCATTTTGCTATCAGCTGCAAGGTATTTTCCAGGGTGTGCTTAACCAATTTTACCATTGTCCTGAAAAGTGTTCTAGGCAGAGAAATCCCCTGATAGCAATCAATATTCATGCATACTTTTAATCACTGTATCGACTGGGAATAATAATTTCCGGGCCTCTCCTGAAGTCCACCTGCCTCACACTAAGATGAAAGGGCCTTCCATGCTGTGTATCAAGTGGCACAGGCTTGATGCTTACCAGGATATTAAACACAAATTAAAATGGTTTGGAAAATATTGATGTGAGTCTGAGGTTGGCCAGTTGCTGGTGAGGGGGTGATTTTGCCAAGTCTGGAGCAGATTGGCAAGGAGCAAGAACACCCCTTGCCTTTCCTATATTCCCTAAGGGTTTTCTATTGCTCTTTTTAGAGCACGACACTACTTGCAAAGGTGCAGTAGGATACGTGTTTAGGATGGAGGTGTGTGGTTTGGGAACAGGGTTTGTGTGCTTTCCAGGTTAGGAATGATTTTCCTGGGTTCGTTGTAACTTGTCTTCTGATTGTTGAACTTGTAGATTTGGAAAGTCTACTGCTTGCTAGCTGGCACATCACCTCAGACTCGGCTCTTTGTTGCTCTTACTTGGGTTCTAGCCAAAAACATCAAAGGGGCTCAGTGGTAAATCTGTGCTGCTTCCTCCCTGGCAAATACTTGTTTTGTACAGTCTGCCCCCTGTAGAAGCAGCAGAACAGTTTGTGTTGCACCAAACTGTCTTTACTCAGGATTCTTATGAGTGAGTGTCATTCTATGGTGGGGTATTGACAGATCCACCATTTCTGAAATTCTCCTGTGTTTGGCCTAGACAGTTATTTGAGACTGGCTGTTGAGCAATATAAATCTCTCTTGGCATTCAGACCTGTTCCCCACCTGCCACATTCATTGATGCTTGTTTGGAAATAGATGTACTTTTATTTGCACCTTCAGGAAGAAACCTTTGCAGAACAACCTTAAAGATACTTGGCTTTGGTCTAGAGGGAAGGGGAAGGAACACCTAAAGCTCTGCAACAGCCCCATCGAAACAGCATTGACAAGCTATGTAGGAAAGATGGCTCAGAACAGAGATCAGGAACTCCTCTGGAGTAAGCATTTTCCAGTGAAACTGCCTCACAACTCTTTATCTTCTTTCAATTCCAAAATCTCAGGGGATTCTAAAAAAGAGTCAGCACTGTTAATGACTAACTCTGTATAGCCAGGAAGGAAAGCAGGATTTAGGTGATGAATTTTGCTATCCATTTCTGGGAGAAAGAGACCTCCACTCTCTAATAGAGGAAGCAAATGGTTGCTGTCTTGTGTAAGGCACACAGCTGGGCTTGTCTGGCTCTGGGCTTTGCAGGTTCCTAATATTCTAACTTCTGTCTCTTATTCTCTCTTATTTGCAGCTCAGCGACATGTCCTCACATACATGGAGGATGCAGTGAGCCAGCTGCTGGAGAACAGAGAAGATATTAGTCAGTATGGCATTGCCAGGTTCTTCACTGAATAGTAAGTACATCAGGATGCCGTTAATAGGGCCAGCCTGAGGGGGCTTTTGGAAGCAGAATGGAGCTGGACACGTGCTGGTTATGTTGTGAATGCTGGATTTTTCTGGGTTAGCCAAGGGCTCCCTGAGCATGTTTTGGAAATGTATATGGGTTTTGAACAATTCAGTACCTTTTCTATTACAAACATGCATGTGACGCAGCCACTCTGCAGAAAAGCAATTTTAAAAATATGGAAAACCAAATTCTGCTTGTCTTGGTCAGGACTGTTAGTACCAAACTGCTTGAGAAATACTGAAGTGAACTGTTTAACAGACTGCTTCTGGTTTCAGCAGCACTCATTCTTCCTTTTTCTCAGTATAACTTGGAACTGTTTGTCTCCTTGTGTGATTGTTGTCCTGTTGAATGCTTTAATAGGATGCCTCTTCTTTTCTTAAAACCTGCCTAAGTCCTTAAATACTGGATGTGGGCACTATCTCTTCTTGCTAATTTGCAAAAAAATTCTTGAGGGAAAAGCTGTGTGCTTTCTGTCTACAGAAACAAGTTCAGTCAGTAAACAAGACCTTAAGAAAGATAAAGAGCAGGATTACAATGACCTCTACCCAGTGACAGGATTTCTCTACCAGAGTTGAAGGCAGGGTAGCTTTGAAATACCCAGCTGAAATTGTCATTCAGGAATCTGCAGATTAGATTTAGTTTGCAACTAATTTCAAACTGATGCCTCTGTGCCTTTTCAAGACTTATGATCATATATACTTCAAAAATGAAAAGGTGAGCAGAAGACCATTTACACAGTGAAACTGTTCAAAATCCTCTGTAGTATTTCTTCAGCTTGACATAATAACCATTTTCTTCTTACTTCCTGTTCCTCTTCTGCCTTTGAAAGAATAAGTAGTGATTCAAGACGGTTATCACAAACAGAACAGTCACCACAGAGGAAAACCCTCAGACTGACTTAGTTACTGGAGATCTTGTTTTTCCCATTTATTTTCAGAGATATGATTTTTACGATGATTTTTTGTTCACTGTGTTTTGTGGAGTTTCTGATTTCATGAAAGGCAGGAAAAGGCTGCATGTTCATTCATTTTGTAATATAGACCTAGTAATTCTCTTTTTTCTTTTTTCTTTTATAAAATATCTGGAGTTTAGCAAATGAAACTGTGTCCCCATACCAAAGCAAGAACAAGCTTAGTAATTTTGCGAGGTCTGAAGATTTGAAATGTGGGAAAAATTGGAGAATAAATGATAGCCAATATGGGTGTAGAGTGCAAAGTTTCATATTATAAAAATGGAATATGTTCTGGCTCCCAGGGCTTGGTGGTGAGCCCTCGCTGCCAAAAGATTTCTCTTCATCCACTCAACTATCAACATTTGTTCTGGCTGTGCTTTGAAGGCTACACTTCTCTCCCAAGCAAATAAACTTGATCTTTAGTCTCAGCATCTTCGAAGATAACTTGTGAGATTCTAGAAGGTTTGTGGGCACTCTCCCAGTGTTTTCCGTAATCCATGGTTTTTTGAAGGAGAGGATTGGAGTGTGCATGTTTTGAAATATGCTGCAGTGATTTGAGATGAAGGGACTTGGTATTAGGATGTCCAGACATAAAATTAGAGACCAAGCCCAGGGTTTAGAAAGCTATCAGGCAGGCCCAAACATGTAATTTTTTTTAAGTGTTTATTGGGCAAAAAAAATGCTTCTGTAACTTTTCAGAAATTGAAATTAGTCTGTCAAGAACAGGCGTTGGACATTCTTCAAATTCCTCTCAGAGGGCATGCTTTTCAATACAGTGGTGTTCCATGGACCTCTCCACTGGATTCACTGCTGAAGAGCAACCTGATGGCATTTCCATCATGCATTGCAATGCCCCACTTTACATAAGTCAATTTGTTGGGATTTAGCATACCTGAGTGAAATTTCAGAATTTAAAATTATGCTCTTCTAGCTCTGTGTGGATCAAGCAGTAAGTGTTTAGCTGGCAATGAGTATTTCCAGTTGTCTCTAAGAAATGAAATTGAGTATGTATTTCACTGCTATCCACTGTCTAGCACTGTGATTGCTGATTGCAGAGGGCTGACCTTAATCTCTACAGTTTTCCTTCCAGAATAGTTTTACTCTTCAAGTATAGTTTTTTCTCCCACTTTATTCCAGTATTCATTTGTCCCAGTCATGTGAACATCTGCTTTCAATCTTGGGAGTACCTTGAGGCTTCCCTCATCTGGCTCACTCCTGACCCTTACAGGAATAGGGATCAATCACCTCTCTGCCAATTAATCCACATCTTTTAGTTAAACAAATAAAATTATATCTCTCTTAGGACTAATCTTGATTTTATAGATATGCTGAAATGCTACTGGTATTTGTTCATTACAAGCCTGAGAAATCTCAGCCCTGCTCTTGAATCTCCATGAAATGCAGACTCTTGAAAACCCTCTGTGTAATTACACACTAATGCTGCTTTGCTTCTTCCAGCCTAATGTCTGTGCCAACATATCTTAAAGGAACATGTTCCCCCTATACATTATTTATCATCCTGTTTTCTTGATCTTTCCTATTCTGAAGAAAAACAGGGCCCCCACGCTAATGCATTTGATCACACAGAGGGAATGTGCATAGCATCCCACTTTATATTTTCTGGGCTCTTAAATGGAGTCTGTGTGTCTTTTTGTTCAATTCAGCTTAAAGAACCAGAAAAAAAAAAATTGATGAAGACACTTCCTATGTTTTACTTTTCTTGCAGGCTAGCCCTTTGCCTGAAACTTTCTCTTCCAGCATGCAGGTACCTGTGCTGCTCTATTCAAGACTCTTTGGAAAGCTCAGAAATAATAGCCAGTTGTAACTTACCTTGGTTAGGAAACTGTTTTTTCTGTAACTTTAATTGTTAGTTTGATACATCAATCACAAGTGAACAGGAGACATGGGAATGGACTTGTTTTGTTTTGTTGTTTTGGGTTTTGTTTTGTTTTCTTTCTTGTCGCAAAACACTTCTTTTCTTTTGTTTCTAGTGAAATGTCTCCTGACCGCCTGCCAGCTGGAGTATGATTGTGAAAAACGTCTTGCTTTTAGCTTGCAGATGTAGCACTGCTTCCATTGGACTCTGCAAACTGATGTCTGAGATCCCCTTCTTCTGTTAAGGATGTTTCTTCTGGTTCTAACTTGAACACCCATGCTGGGTCTTGTGTGACAGTTTAACAGTATTTATCTGAGAAGGCATCTGTGATGTGTGTGACAGGATTGAGGGTCAGATGCTGCTTTTAGATCTGTTGTGTGCCTGGAAATTGAAAATACCAGCTCTGCAATGTGTAGAGTCCTGTTTTACAGAAAGGAGCATTTGCTTTGTTCCTAGTAACAAGACTACCAGTGCTGTATAGTTTGGGATCCTTGGGAAGGAAGATGTTATCATGGTGAATAGTATCAACTTCTAGCAATGAAAGTACTTCATTTTCTTTTGCTATCTGGGTTGGCTGGAACAATTTGTTCAACTCTTTCCTTAGGGACAAATATGATATCGCCCCCTTGGCTTTTTCTGGCAGTAGACACAGGCTTTGGTATCAGACAAACTTTTGGCTTGTTCAGTCCTTTATTGCTGTACAACATTACAGAAATAAATCTGTAGAGTAAACAATGTCCTCCTCTTAAAAAAAGTCTCAATACCCTTGAGGGTGGAGGGCAGGGGGGAAGGGCCAGGAACAAGACAGATGGGATGCCCATGAGAACTAAGCCACTCACTGAAGGCAACCTTAATTGGCAACTGGAAATAAGCTGAATTATCTGATTATGAAAAGGAGAGATTCTTAGAGCTAGCTTAGAGCCATCAATTTTCTTTTTTCTTTGCATCTGTGTATGTAGGCCTTATCATCGTCATCATCTTGCTGTCATCTGCTCTGCATCTTTCCCCTTTTCAGAGTTACTTGTTTTGTCTTGTTTGCAAGGATAGTGTAAGCTCTTCAAGACAGAAATGATATTGTACTGCATGTACTTTACAGCACCTAGCATTGTAGAATGTTGACTCTGTGCTTTGTACAATTACAGTACAAACAGCAAAAACAGTAGTGAGAAGGTGCTTAAGGCTTTGACAAATTGTGCCAGATTCCCTTCCTGAGAGATGAAGCCATTCATTAGAATTTTTCAGTACAACTGTCTGGGGGAGAGGCATTGGTTGTTGGGGTTTTTTAGTGTTAGTTCTTTGTGTTTTGGGAAAATCAGTAGTATTTGTGAGGTATTAATACTTTTAGGATATTACCTAAAATACTGATATTCTCTCTTATACAATCTTCGGAACAATTGCAGAAAACCCATTTCATATATAAAACAACATTTCATATATTCTTCGAATACTGTCCTGATTCCTACATGTCTTCTGCTCTGGAGAGAAAAAGATAAAATTATCCCACTCAATGCAAGACTGCACTGAGCCATGTGATTGGTATCAAGCTGCTGCTGTCAATGACCTAGCTGTGCAGCAGCCCTTTGGGCTGAAAATCTCAGCTGGGATAATGTACTTGATGGTTCCTGACAGGCTTTTACTTGGGATTCCTTGATCCCTAGGGCACTGCATAAGACTGCTGTCTGCCTCTCCTTTGCTTTTCAGTTATCAGTGGGAAGAGAGTTAATATGTGAACTCAGACGCAGCATTCGTGCCAGAAGCTCTGAGGAGGTTTTGCAGCTAATATGAATAAGTTGCTGTGAAAGAAACGTTTTGAAAGTGTCTCTCCATAGCGTACATGGGTTTGCAGGACTGAATTTGTTGATAAATCTTTCTGGGGAACCTAGAGTAATTGCATATTTCTCCACTAAGAATGTTGCTAATGGACAGAAAGCCTTTCTGCTAGTACCTTTGTTGCCTTCCAGTATCACCTCTACAGAGTAGCATTGTCAGAAGGGCAAACTCTCTTTCTTGTAATTGAATTTTTCCAGTGCACCTTAGAAATGGGATTTCAATACCTCCTGCCCACTATGCATGGGGTATGTATTTTGTTTGAGAGCTATGGAAGATCTGGGGGTTGTGG